CAAATCTCCACATCATGTACAACCATGAGACTGGGATCCTAATTAGAATAAGATGTACTCCATGTTTGTATAAATATGTCAAAATATACTCTAACAACAAGTATAACTAAAGAGAACAAATTTTGAAAACATGAATTTTCAAGTATGGAATAATGTCACTGGCATTACTCAGCTTCACATCATTATACCAAAGACTCAAAATTCAACTTATAAAGAGAAAAGTTCTATCTTGACTCACAGTTGGCCCTTGCTTTCAGGCCTGTAGGAAGGCAACGCATCATGGCAGAGCCAAACCTCTTACCTCATGACCAGGAAGCAGAAGAAAGGAAAGAGAAGGGGCTGGGTCCCATTATCCCCTTCAAGGGCACACTTCAGTTATCCAAAAACCTTCTGCTAGACACTTCTTCAAGTTTCCACCACCTCCAATAACTCCAAGCTGAGGACGGAAGTTTCTAGCACATTAACTGTTGTGAATCATTTAAGACCCAAACTATAGCGGCTACCAGAGAACCCTAAAATACACAAGCTCTCTGGAATGATGATTTTACCCTGGTCCAACTAATTTATTCAGTTTTTCTTGTGGCCCCTATTCTTGAAATGGTCATCAGGGCTGATGACAGCATCTTTAGCTACAATATTAAAAGATTTCCATGTTTTTATCTACTGCAATTGTATTTTTGCATTTGCTGCTAAATTTGAAATGCTTTTAAGGCTGTGAATGTATCTTTTTTCCTGTCTTCACTATAAAACTATTAAAGACACAAGGAGTTGCATCAATTATTATTGAATTAGAAACAACTAGCCCTTTAGGATCAACCTCAGACCTTGGCTCTACTAACACTATTCTTTCACCAAACGTGTAATGAAGAAAGCGTCCACAGTGGCAAGGAAGACAGAAATACTCTGCCAAAAAGTAATCCTGATAAACTCTGGAATCATCAGCTTTCTCTAAATTTCTATCATCATTCCCATGAATTTATGATGCCCAGAGCTTACTGAATAATTGCAACCTGAAGATGTGCTGGTTATCTGTGAAAAAAAAATTTAAAAAAAAAAAAAAACTTGTAGGTTGTCTACTGGCCAATGACTTGCAACTTTTTTTTTCTTTTTCTTTTTTTTTTTTGTTTCAGGAACCCTCCCATGGCTCAATTTAATCATTCCATCAATGAGAAATCATGCCCTTTGTCAGATCAAACCACTGCCATAGGAGAAACTGGCCTCTCCCTGACTCTCCCAGACTCAATCTGTTCCTTCCCACACTTCATTACCTCCCTAAACAATCTTATTGGTGGTACAATTAGTATTGATTTGCCACGAGTAGCTTCCACTTCTTCCCACGACCCCAACTTTGCTCCATTTTTGGAGAAAACAACCATGAAAAATGTCCAGTGTGCCTTGCATTCTTGGCTCTTACTTTACACCAGTGTCCTGATCCTAAGCATTTTGGTTTAAACAACAGCATATTAAGGTACACCGCTTAATCTTATTTCATAGATCTCAGATATCATTGGAATTTAGAGCTAGAAGGAGCCTCAGTAATTAGTCAACTCTAGCATTTTACAAAAATCAAACCCCAGAGTAAATGCCTTAGCCTAGATCTAGAGATATCAAGTCTGGACCCTTTCTAATGAATACATGATATCACCCTTTATGCATGAACCAAATCTGAGAAGATGAGCAGGACATGAAAATGTTCCCTGGATCAGTATGGTCATTTAATTTAATCAAGCAAGACCTCAGTCCAGGTCCCCTCCCCCATAGGACAGAATAGCAGGTCAGGCCTGAACATGGACACCTCCTAGGGAGTCCCCACCTTATCCTGAGGGAGAAAGGGGCCCATGCTCACTTTCAACAGATCTCTCTCACCTGCCTGATCCATGGATCTTCATAACTGACACATGTTAAGGTTTTATTAGAAGAGGCCTCAAACACCTTACAAAGGAACATTTTAGAATCTCCCTGTGCTACTACTTGTCCTGCCCACCCCATCCTCACACTCCGCCTCCTGGGAATGGCTCCACAAAGAGGAGAGAGCAGAGAGTCTGGGAAGAGGGCCTGCTAAAAGCTGCTTTCCTTTCAATAGAAAATTATTTGTCTAAGCACCATGTGAATAGAATTTAGAAACTTGAACTTTGGGTTATGATCCAATACCTGAAATTCCTTTCATTCCATAATTAAAGATAAGGCTTTCAGTGTAAACATAGCAGGCATAAGCATTCTCCAGACTCATTAATGCCCATGAAGGGGAAAAAAAAATGACTTGACACGGATCATTTCTTTAAGCTGATTTTGAAAAAGAGGAGGGAAAGGAGAGGTCAAGGGCACTAAAGGGAGAGTGAGCACAGGATTAAGGAAGGCTGGAGGCACTGAGGAGAAACTGCCCACTTCATCATCTGCCCCAGTGATGCTAGATTTAATTGTTTCCAGGATCTGATCCTCACATTTTTTTAACCTCCTTTGTCCACAAAGCCAAGTGGTATAGCAGAATGAACCTGACATCACTTTCCTATGTACATACATGAATACACATTTTTTAATGGACCAGGGACACCTGGTAAGTGGCATCTACAGAGAAAGATGAATGGGAAATACATCCTTATAAACAGGTGTACTAGAAAAGGATTTCAAAACATAATGCATTTGTGCTATTGATTATTAGATTGCCTAATCAGGATCATATTTTATGTTAGTATGACCCAACCAATGGAGGATTCAAAGTGATAAAGGAACCATGGATTAATAGAAAATAGCAAAATCAGTTTCCTGAACACTCAGCAGTGTTGTATGTACTAGAAATCATATCCAAAAATTGGAATATAAAATCACTATACACATTAAAGGAATTTTTATACTGGTATAATTGTTTCCACAAATGGACAAGTGACATTAGAAGCAATGATAATATTGAAGAAATGGTAGAATGTAGTCTCTTGGTACTTTCTGAAGAGAGGGATGAAAGAGAGGAAGATCATACTCCTGTTTACAGACCTCCCTGGTTAATGTGTAATGGATGAGATGAGTGGCAGCTAATATTTGCCTCTCTTGTTTACTGTCTGGATGGTGGCCAGACACCTTCCCTCTCGGCCTGCCAGTGGGTTTGGGGTTGTAAGGAACGTAAGGAATGCAGTAAGTGGCTGATAGGGTCTCTGTGCCACGTGTAGGCTTGCTAAAGAAGACATTCAAGAAGACCTCCGGGGACATCTGGTGACATTCCCTCAGGTGGGCATGCCTCCTTGGCACTGTGGTAAATAGTCTCACTAAAAACAGCTGGGGTGAGCTGTGCTAAAGCAGAGCTGGGCTCAGCCCTGCCAAACTGCTCCACTGAGGAGGACAAAGAAAGGCAAAATGTCAGGATCCAGAGGAAGTTCTCCTTCTGTCCTATCCCTGCTGGGAAACACAGAACAGAGTGCTCCTCTGTCTGTAACTTGTCCTGCCCTGAGCGGTACTGAGGCACGCCTGGCCCTCCTCTGCAGGCTTACAGAGATGTGGAAGGCCTTCCTCCCCATCCTTCCCCATCTTCTTTCTAAATTCTTCCCTCTTGCCTGGTGTGATGTGGGACGAGCCAACAGACCAAGACCTTCCCCGACAAAACACAGACAGGAATTACATGGAAGGTACCGTGACCAGACTGCTCCCCTGCTGATCGTGTCTTGTCTTGTCTCTCACGTGGACCGGCGCGGTTTCACCTACAGAAACAAGAGCTCTGTGATTCTTCCTCACGTGGCATGGTTCTGATGTGGGTCACAAGTGTTCCTCTTAATAACCCCCACAACTTTCCTCATTTCCTAAGAAATCGAGTTCAGAATTCTGGCATGGGCTGAGCAGGGCTCTGTTTTGCCCCAGCTTAGCCAAGCAGTTTTGAAGTGAGACTTTTTATCACAATGTGAAGGAGGCACGCCCCGCTGAGTGAAAAGAGGCAGGTCTCCTTGGAGGTCTTGAATATCTTCTTTAGCAAGTTTACGTGTGGCACAGGGACCCTAGGGCTGGTACCATCCTATCTTTCCTACCTCCCCTCTCACCCCAACTTAAACTGTTTTTTTTTGGGTGGCTCTATGCTTTCCTCCTTTTACCACATTCACCTCCTTCTACCCACTGTCTCTCAGTGATTGAGCATCCTGAATCCCAAAAAGTGAACTCCAAAATTCTCCAAAACCGGAAATTTTTGAGTCCAACATGATGCCATGAGTGGAAAACCCCACACCTGACCTCATATGAAAAGCTGTAGTCAAAATGCAAGCACAGTTAAAATATTGTATCAAACTACCCTGAGACTATGTAGAGAAAGTATGTATAAAATACAAATGAATTTTGTGTTTAGACTTGGGTCCCATCTCCAGGATACCTCATTATGTATGTGTAAATATTCTAAAATCCAAAAAATCCAAACTCTTAAACACTCAGAAGCTTTTCAGACAATGGATGCTCACCTGTATATCTAACCCCTGCCCCACTAATATAAACTCCCACACGGTTGGTACTTTCCCTTCAGAGTACTCATCCCTACCATTATTAAATAATCATTTGTGTATCATCAGTGCAGTGGCTTTCTCCCTTGCTAGGCAATAGGTTCCCTAAAGACAAAGGATTGCACATATGGTATTCTTTGAGGTATATCCAGCAGCCTGCCTGTAGTAGTTGCTTAGGTTATCAATGAATGGCACCCCACCTCCAGCCTCTCCTAAAGGATAGGCTTTTGTTAGCAATTATCTGAGGCAATAGGGAAACTTTGTGCTTCCTATTCTCAACATCATTCTCCACAATCCATCATCATCATCTGAATCCTGGTCTTATCTCTCCTGCTGCTCCAAGGCTCCTTAGATAAGGGACTCTCATTTATTTTTTTGCATGGTTCACAACTCTGGACACCAAATTTTGCCTAGCTGAGACTCAAAAATTCATTGGTTCCTGAAGAACCAATGAAAGGAAAAGAAACCACAGAAACCAAAGCTGGGTGTGTAAAGGGTTATTTATTTGTTTATTTGCTTTCCACAGACCCTCATAATGCACATATATCACCTTTTCTGTCGTAGAGTAAGAAATTTAAAAAATTTCCCCAGCCCATAACTTCTTCCATCATTTCAGACTTCCAGCAGTACTATACAGGCTCCTTCTGGGGCATTCCATTCCGATCTGCAGTCTTGAGTTTTATATATAAAGGCAGGGCATGAAGGAGTTCTATGTTTTTGATCAGAGACAGCAGAAGAGGTAAGAGACTTGAGCAATGGGGAAAAGGACACAGCAAGAAAAAAAAAAAACACTTGCAACATGTGGTTGGGGAGAAAACATTGAGAGTTCTAACAAACTCAATAGAGTGATAGACTCTGAGCTGAACTCTTTATTCTATATATACTCTGAGGCCTTGGGAAAGTCACTTAGCTCCCTGGATCTATTTTCTGATGGGCAAAACGGCATTAATGATGCCTCTTTCTGATCATTTAGGGGATTAATATGATAATGTCCAAAATTGCTCTGTCAATTCAAAAAGGTTTATGCAAACCATTCCCTACATGGTGGGTGAAGATGGAGAGCTGGAGGGAGTCATCTGTATGGGGTTTGGGGGTTGATTAGCAGAAGCTTATATTCTGTCTGTAGAATTAAGAGTCTGTTTAGAACCCTGGGGAACCCAAAGTCTGAATGAGGAGATAACCAGAGTTTGAGAAAGGCACTGGGAGATGGGGGGAAAGAAGCAACTCAATTGGGTATGAATGAAGCATAAAATACACAGAGTGTTAAGGTCAGACCCAGAGCTTCTTGCTTAGAGGCAGGTGACAGGGGAAAGAGGAAGGAGGAGAGTTGAGCACTGACAGGCTGAAGTGAGGAGAGGGAGGTTGGTTGTTCTGCTGGAGATACAAGATCTATGTAACGAGAGAAGCTTGAAAAGAAGAAATCAGGATCCCATCAAAGCAGGTTTCAAAGGACAGAGAAAGCTTTGCCACAGAAAATGAACCTGGAGCAGGAGACACAAAGAGGTAGCAGTTGGGCATAGTGGTACACACCTGTAATCCCAGCAACTCAGGAGGCTGATGCAGGAGGATTACAAGTTCAAAGCCAGCCAATTTAGCAAGGCCCTGAGCAACTTAGCAAGACCCTGTCTCAAAATAATAAAAATGAAAAGGACTGGGGATGTGGCTCAGTGGTTAAGCAACCCTGGGTTTAATCCCTGGTACAAAAAAAAAAAAATGTGGGACAAAGTCTCTCCAAGGAGAGTCTACGCTCTGCTGAGATTACATAGGAGGATGGGCAAGGCATTCCTGAAGAACCAATGAAAGGAAAAGAAACCACAGAAACCAAAGCTGGGGAAAGTGCCCGAGCTAGGCTGTCTGCTGAGACAACAATCCCTTTTCTTCTTCCTGGACACACAGCCAACTGCATGTCTTAGGCTCCCTTGAAGTAAGATGTGGCCCCAAGACAGAGTTGCAGCCAAAGCAATGTGAACAGAATGTTAGGAGATGGTCATTTCCAGAGCAGGCCCAAGTGAACTTCCAGCTGTCTTTCTCCAGACTCTTCCTGTTCCGAGGTGGGTTCTCATGCCCTCTGTAACTTTGGAAGCCAAATGTTGAAGATGATGGAGCAACAAGTCAAAAAGACCTTAGGTTCAAAGGTCACCCCTGGAAGACAGAACCCTATCAATCAGCACATCCACATTCAGAACAAAATAATTCTTTTGTGTTCAAGCCATGTACACGTAGGGGTGAGTATATTACAGCAGCTATCGTTACCTCAATTAGCTCAGCACGAGGAGTCTGGGAATGACCAGGAGCCCACTGGCTGCATTTTAAAATCATTTAAGTGAGAATTGCATGAGATGATGTGAAAAAAACCTGTGCACCTCATGACCTGCCTGATTCCTGTCCACGCTTGCTTAGTGGCTCCCATCTACTCTTTGGCCATGGTATTTTAACCTTAAATTGGCTTCTATTTATAGCCACAAAAGAAAAATACCAATCAGATGTCTATAAAAGGTTTTTCCAAAACTCCAAGTTCTTTCTCTTGCTTTCTCTTTTTTTCCCACCAAAATAATTTTTAATTGTTTAATGTGGGAAAATATTTTATGGGAATTGCATTCCTTTCTGAGCCACTGCCTAGGCAATTTAAAAATAAACAATAGACAAAGACAAGCATTAACTTGGGGGGGGGGGACTTTTTATAATTACCTTCAGGATTGATTCAGGATTGGCTAAGAATATAAAAGGAGTTTGAAGATTGGTGGCCATCCAGGCTATAGGAAAAAAGCAATTAGCTTTCTTTTCTTCTTCTCCTCAACAGGTAAGTTCCAAATACAGACAATGCCTAATTCATTCCTGTTAGTTCTAGTATTGCTAAAATGTTCTTAGATGCTCACATAAGTTATTGACCAACCAGTGGAGATACTGAGGGTTGTTTTGCAGAGACTCTGAAGACATTCAAGCAAAGGCAAGGTGTAAACAGGATTTATTGTAATTACTATTATTATTTTTTATTGTTTTAAGCAGATAGTCCTATCTAAGACATGCAAACTTAGCTTTTGAGTTTTGGTCATAAACCTCTGGGCACTTTTCTAGTCCTTGTAATATAGTGCCAATGAGAGATTAAGCTAGAAAATAAATCTACAAATGAGTAGCTGTCTTATAATTAGTAAGCACTCTCCTTCATATAAAATTCCATGCCAGTGTCTAATAGCCACACTTTATACTCACCTAAAGCCTTTCATCTGAAATGCTCAAAGCGCTTCTTGTTAATACCAGTGCTAATTCTCTCAAAATTCCTGTAAGTCAGGGAGCTAGAATACCCATCCTTAAGGCACCTTGGCCATTGCTGAAGTTGGAGCCTTTCTGTCTCTGACCCACGTAGTTGTGGGTGGCACCCCTTCCCCAGGTTGTTGCCCCACCCCCAGCCCAATGAAAAGCAGAAGGGATTCTATCAGGGCAGGAAATTCGAGTTGCAGCCACATGGGAGGCAGTCATATAAAAGGAAGCTCAGCCCTTTGAATTAGACTGACTATATAACCTGGCTCTGATGTTTAAACAAATTATCCAAACTTTCTGAGCTTTAATTTGCTCCTCTACGATCAAGAATGTAAAATAATACTATGGTTATCCACACACATTAAGCAGCCAATAAATACTTGCTTTAGGGTATTTACATCCTTAATTTCACTGGATCTTTGGAACTAACCTGTATTGTATCTGGTTGAAGTTCTGCCACAGTCTGGAGGGGCACAAAATAACTGAGCCGCCACACAGCCTTGTAGGTTCAAAACAGGAACTCCTTTATTCTCCACACCCCCGCGAACTCCTCGCACTCGGCCTTCTCCCCGGACATACACCACACACCAACTGGAAATCCCTCCTCCCGAAATCCCTCCTCCAGCACTTCCCCAACCAATGGGAACTCTCCAGGGATTCCTGTGAGAACTCCAAAGTAGCAGGCTGAGGCGGACAGCAGGGGTCTAATATACAATTGAATACACAGCTTAACATAACCATTATCATCAATAGCTTGTGGCGTCACCTCTCAACCACTCCATTCTGGCAAAAATGCCATGCATCATTCCGACTCGGCTATGGCTCTCAGCAAAGTTCTACTTGGGAATACTGCCCATAGTAGACATTCAATAAATATTAGTGGAGTTGTCTTCTTTAGAAGAATTCTATCTCCAATGCTCATGCTACCCAAGCCAACTTAGGTTTTCCATAAGAATAGCTCCAATTTTGTCCCAAATAAATGTGAATCTCTGGATGTAAAACATTTATTTAAGCACAATTATAATCCTCTTTCTTCAATAACCTGGGTTGATTTGCTAAATCTCCCCAAGTTCTATATTTATTACCAAAGAAGAATATTGTTATGGATTAAATCACTTTGTTAAATACCAGATAATAAATTATTCATTATAGGGATTTGTTAAAAAGATTTGATCTATAAAATTATCTTATATATACTCTAATGTATGAATTATAGTTTATGGATTTGTGTGAATTATTTTTTAGAAAGTAATCTTTTACTCCTTTCAACTATTTAAAGACAAAATAGTATACTTTGGATTTTAAGTGTCACAATTTTACTAGATTTTTCATTCCTCTACCAAAAATCTAGCCAAGTCACCCATCAAGGAGTCCCCATTTTCTGGATTTGATAATAAAAATACATTTGTGAATTTGCTTAGAGGGCCATGATAGTGATATGGTATTTACTCAGGACTTAATTGTCTAATGACCTTGGCTGGTTCAAAACATTGTAATAACTAAAAGGTAAGAACAAGATTGGAGAAGAGAAGCTTCCAAGTAAGCAAAATAGATATTAAAATGTCAAACACTTATGTCTAGTGGCTGTGAATTTCAGGGATAAGAGATCTTGCAGGATGTGACTCAAAGCTAAGTTACTCCTACTTGGTCCACAGTTCTAACAAGTTTTCTCCATTGTGGGCAGATGAAAAGCAGCAGGCCAGAAATGTGTAGACATTAGAGAGATAAAGATTTCTTACAGCCTTCAACCTGTAAGCCTCGAAGGCAAAGCTTTGTGTCAACTCTTTGTCTGGCACTCGAGCAGATATGAAGGACAGGAAAGTCACCATCACTGCCCTTGCCTCCCACGGTCACGCTTCAATTGGATGCAGAAAAGAGCAACACACTACAAACAATCCGGCAACAAATAAATTGTGTGCTACCTGCCATAAAAAACATTCAGAGAAGGAGGAAACCAGTCTGGGAGACACTAGGGGAGATTTTACTGGACCGAATCTTCTGAAAATTCCTAATTACAACAGGCTCTAAGTCTTAAAAAAGCATTTGAAAAGTGATGCCCGAAATCATTGTGGGAAACATTTCTATTTGACCCAAGACCAATTTTGAAACAATCACATTTTATTTGATCAGATGATAAGTTAGTTGAGAGTGGGACCTGTCAGAACCTATTCCCTTCTCCCCCAGAGCAGAAAGCTGTGCTGTGACAGCACAGCCACAAAACAAACATGTAGCAATTTAACTTTTCAAGTGAGACCAGAGTAACATACTGTGTTATCACATTAAACTGAAATTTAAATGAGAAAACACAAAATTGGTTATGAACTCAAGTAGGCAGGGAAATACCTAACAGGTTGAAAGAAAAGGTGGTAAATACAAGTTGCTCAGAAGAGAAGATGAACAGGGAGTTTTAGGAAACTCCAGATGTCTAAAACATAATGAGAACTACTTCACACATACCTGGAGTAAAGTGGAATTAACTTAAGGTGTAAAAGGAAAGGTTTAAAGAGCAGGTATTTGGAATGTGTTCTTGAATTACATTGTGTTTCTGTTTGTCTTGGTTTTGCCTAAAGTCTTCCTTTTTTATGCTCCTCTTTAAATAGTTTGGGTGAAAGGGGTGAGGGCAGAGTCATGGGATCAGTGACCTGTTTCTTAGTCCTGGTTTGGACTTGTGTAGGATGTGCCCCCTGACCCAGTCAGCTCTGCCAGTCCACAGGAGCACCCATTTATTCCAAGGAGCATCTTTTCTTAAGCTGGTCCATGTTGGTTTTCATCTGTAATCAGGATTCTGAACAAGAACTTCACAAACACTCTGTTCATGACCCAGGTTGGGAAAAAGAGTCAACCCTGTGGAGAATCAGTGCAAAACAGTGATGATAAGACCATGAACCAAAGGAGAATACCACACACCAAACTCCTTGGAGACAGACAGAAACTGGCTTAGTGTAATTCGAAAGGCCTCAAGGTAATCCCCCAAATCTCTCTCCCCGCAACTAGAAAAACAATGTGGTATAGTGAAGAGAGGACTGGGCTGAGCCTGAAAGGGGCCAAGTTCAAATCCTGGCTCTGCCATTTACTGTCTGTGTAAGCTTGAGCCATTTATTTAGCCTTTCTGGGATTCAGTTTCCTCATCAATAAAATGGGGAAAATGCCACCAATAATATAAGGATGTTCTGAGGGCTAAACAACATATCTTAAGTCCCTAGTGCAATAGAAGTCACAGAGCCATAGTACATGCTCAGTATATGGTAGCTTCCATTATTTCTATGGCTGGTCTTTCTATTTCACCACATTGATCTGCCTTTGGCCTAGCACACCATTTTGTAAGTAGAACTAGAGAAGTAGTTGCTCCAAACAGCCATAGAGCAAAACACAGGTAAGTTATCCTCTATTCCTGGAACTAAAAATCTTTATAGGCAAATCCACAACTAGCTTTGTCACCCTAGGAAAGAAAGTTATCAGGGAAGCACATGAGAGGGTGGTTTGGAGAAAATTAAATCACTTCAGCAGAATTCGAGGTATAAAATTTAGCAAGAGGGAAAAATGATGTTCTAATTGCTCACTGTAACAGAATATGGAGGTTTTGCATATATACTAAAGAGCATTTTAAGAATAACTATTGTTGACATGAACATCTTTGGACAAAACCAAAAGGGCTTTGACTCCATCCCAACATAGAAGACACAAGAAAGGACAATCACAACTGGTGTAGCAGAAGCACAGGATTCTCACCCTGAGACGACCTGTTGTGGGGGGGTGCTTCAGCTTGTCATTGTCAGCTGCCCAGTTAACTGCCCTTGGAAGAAAGATCTGACCCAGATGGAGTCATTGAGCATGAATGCCTTACTGAGCAAGCAGGGCCCTGTAGGACCAGGCCTGCTATGCTTCTATAATGAATTGCTTTTGATGGCAGAAACGGAAACAAACCAAAATCTTAACTGCCCACAAACATAAGTGGGTCCCCCTAGTCCCAAGGCTAGGACTGGAGTGAAAGCTAGTAAAACTAATTAGAGCTGTCTTGGATCATTCAGAAAAAAAAAAAATGATAAAAATGAGTTCTAAAAATTGGGAGTGGGACCTGTCCTGATTTGGCAAGAAAGAAGATAGAAGGGTCTGGAAGCAAAGAATGATACTTTTGTTTCTAAAGAATGGAAGTAAAAACAGGCAAAGCAAGTCCAGGATGCTTTTTTCTGAGCTTAAGGGACTCAGACAAAACTAACCAGATTTAATAGTTCACTCTGGTTCCCAGGACATAGAGTCTTAGGTCTTCCTCCAGAGCTGTTAAGGTCAGATTTTGTTTTTGTTTTTGTTTTTGCCTCTGTGACCAAAAAGATCTGATAAAAACACAATTAGAGGAGGAAATGTTTATTTGGAGGCTCATGGTTTCAGAGGTCTCAGTTCATAGATAGCTGACTCAATTCCTCAGGACCGAGATGAGGCAGAACATCATGGCAGAAGTGTGTGGTCGAGGAAAGCAGCTGGGGACATGGCACCAGGAAGCAAAGAGGGAGAGAAACTCCACTCACCAGGGACAAAATATATACTCCAAAGGCAAGACCCCAGTGACCCACCTCGTCTAGCCACCCCCTACCTGCTTACAGTTATCACCCAGTTAATCCCTATCAGTGGATAAATTCACTGATTAAGTCACGGTTCTCATAAACCCAGTCACCTCACCTCTAAACCCTCTTGCATTGTCTCACACTTGAGCTTTGGGGGGACACCTCATATCTAAACCATATCAAGAATTTAAGGAACCTGGATAGAATTAACTAAAGATAACAGCTCACCCTACTTCCCAAGACTTGGAGTCTCAGTCCAGTGACTTCCAGCCCCCTGTTGAACACAAATATAAAACAACAGCCAATACCTAATGATTATCTTTCCCTCTACTCAACAAAGGCAGTATAAAACAATAAAATTCCTAATAATAAACTAACAATATATGTTGCACGCAAGTGGCTATTTGCAAATGTGTCCTAGATCAAAGATCGCAGAGAATTCTTTTTGTTGTTTGGTCTTCCTGTAGACGGGAAGGCAAAATCGGGTTTCCCAGCCATGTGTACTTACTTGTTGCTTAAAGAAGCACGTAACCCATTAGAACTTCTTGATGACTTGTGAGACCAAGGATGTGGTTTCCATTATCTAATAAATGATAAGTAGGGAATAAGCATAGTTGGTTTACATTAGAGCCTAAGTGGAGATGATATTGCTGTAAATATTTATTATAATTTTCTAAAAATACTCATGTATGTGTCTGCCATATAAGAAAAATGCTTCTTAGGATACTAAAAAAAAAAAAAGTGGCATAAAAGATTGGCGAGACATCTGGTCTATCAGAGTTTACAATCTAGGAAAAATGATGTGAACTTAGCGTTATAACAACAACTATAACTTAAATATTTGCCATATGCAAAATGCTACATACACATTATTTTACTTAATCCTCACAAGAACCCCATGAAACAATCAAATTTTCTCAATTTTGCTGAGAATCAGAAAGATAAAGTAACTTGCCTAAACTCGCACGAGGAAAAGAAGAATGTCTATTGTTTCATTTATTTATTTATTTATTTATTTATTTATTTATTTATTTATTTATATTTGTCAACACGAACCCTTCTTCTTTTGAGGATCGGGTCTTCAATATCACACACACACACACACACACTCAGATACACACACACATCACACTCCCATTGTGTGCTTCTGTTGGGCCAGTCACACTGCATTCCTGCTCATGTGATACAAATCAAACCAATCAGTTCTTCCATGGTATCTTCAAATGGAACTAAGGGGAGAATGCTCCTTCCTTCTTACCCTCTAGTGAAATGAAACTGAGAAATGTGAACTTTGAAGCTTCCAGAAGACATACCTCCAGCCTCTTGTCAGATGCTAGTCTGAGGAAATAAAGTCAGTATGGAGAAATAAATAGAAAAAGAGATTTTTTTTTTTTTAAAAAAAAGCACCTGTGACTTCAGTGACTATGGTTCCATTCAGTGGTTTGCTGGTAAATGTTTAACAACCAACTCTCCAAGTGTAGTTCCTTTTTGTTTATTTGCATGTTTGGTACCAGAGATCAAAACCAGGGCCATTTAACCACTGAACCACATCCCCAGCCTTTTTATTTTGAGACAGGGCCTTATTAAGTGGCTCAGGGTGGCCTCGAACTTTGCAATCCTTCTGCCTTAGCCTCTTGAGCTGCTGAGATTACAGGAGTACACCACCACACCTAGTCCAAGTATAGTTCTGACATGAATGTTGGTCAGCAATTTAAAAAAAAAAATTTTTTTAATTTTATTTGTTCTTTTTAGATATATATGACAGTAGAATGTATTTTGGCATATTATACATACATGGAGTATAATTTATTCTAATTAGGATCTTATTCTTGTAGTATTACATGATGTGGAATTACCCTGGTCATTTATTCAAGGATAGGAAAGTTATGTCTGATTAATTCTATTGACCTTCCTATTTCCCTCCCCCTCTTCCCTTTGTTCCCCTTTGTCTAATCCAATGAACTTCTATTATTCTCCTCCTCATCCTCCCTTATTGTGGGTTAGCATCCACATATCAGAGAGAACATTTGGCCTTTGGTTTAGGGGGACTGGATTATTTCACTTAGCATGATAGTTTCTAGTTCCAGACATTTACCAGCAAATGCCATAATTTCATTCTTCTTTATGGCTGAGTAATATTCCATTGTGTATATATACCACAGTTTCTTTATCTACTCATCTGTTGTAGGGCACCTAGGTCGGTTCTATAGCTTGACTATTGTAAATTGAGCTGCTATTGATGTGGCTGCATTACTGTAGTATGCTGATTTTAAGTCCTTTGGGTGTAGACCAAGGAGTGGGATAGCTGGGTCAAATGGTGGTTCCATTCCAAGTTTTCTGAGGAATCTCCACACTGCTTTCCAGAGTGGTTGTGAAGCCAGATTTAAAGTTAGGTAGTCATCTTCAAGCAAACTTGAAGATGCTGACTTGGAAGTGCCCAGATTACTTCTTTGGCCCACCTTTGTCCCACCCCTCGGGCCTTCCCACCTACATTCCATCACCCAAAACTATAAAATGGAGAGACAACCGCACTTCCATGGATTCCACCTCTTGGGTCCCCTTCTTCCTCTGGGAGAAGTCTTTTCTGCTGTCCTTTAATAAACTTCTAATTTCTACTCTGACCTTGCCTAGGCGTGCTTCTCTGGTTATTCTTCAACATTGGGGAAGCAAGGACTCGTCACCGGTCAACAGCAGTAACAGTTGCACCAATTTGCAGTCCCACCAATAATGAATGTATGAGAGTACCTTTTCCCCCACATCCTCACCAACATTTATTGTTACTTGTATTATTTATAATTGCCATTCTGACTAGAGTGAGATGGAATCTGAGTATAGTTTTAATTTGCATTTCCCTAATTGGTTAGCAATTTTCTTTATGTAAGATGAAAGGGAATCAGCAAAGACATTGGTAGAATTTTACTCATTTTTTAATGGTATAACTGACTTCTTTGGTAAATCAGTTAATAGTTTTAAAAAAACAGACATTTTTCTCAATTTTTGGATATTATTCACAAAGTAACAAGTATAGATGTATACACATTTTCAAGTTTAATTTGCATTGTCAACATTTTTTCATCGCTTTCTTAAGTCTAGACTCTAGGGAATCAACAAAAGATCAAGTCCTGATTTGTAGCATTTGTCAATCTCTACAGTGTGAATGCTTCTGCCTTGACCAACGTCAAACTTCCAAAATGACATCATTGGTGTTGGGGAGAGATGAGCAAATCATATTGTGTTTTCACCCTACAGACACCACAGATATAAAGATTCACACATGTAGGAGAGAGAAAAATGCAGTAAAGTCATGAGGAAATGATAAGATTTTAGAATTTATTACCTTTGCATCTAATATAATTTTTAATCATGATCTTATAATTTAATTTTTAGTAATGGTTGTGTTTAACAACCGACTCACAAAGTCACTGAAAACCTGGACAAGTGGCTTTCAAGAATCAACATGATCCAAATACAATACATCATAGGTTTCCCCTGATCCCTGGGTCCTACCTATATTTCCCACCCTAATTCCAGGAGCAAAACAAAACAAAACAGAACAAAAAAATACCAAATTTCTCTCACCTACAGAGTGTCTTCTCAGTCACTTGCAACTTAAAAGAATCCTGGCTCACTCAAGGGGACCCTTATACCTAGAGTGGACAGGGTGGGCTTCTTCCACAAGGCAGGTTGAGGCTCCCAGCTTTGAAGGCCAATTTCCAGCCTACTTAGCTGCATTTAAAACAAAAACAAAAACTGTGCTTTCCGCCTTAGGAAATACAATGTTCAGCTACGGAAAGCCTGGCCATGCCACATGATGGTCCCTTTAAATGTCTTCCTAGATGAGGAATGTTTAATCAGCTGAGCAGAGCCTCCAGCCCTGCAGGAGCCTGGAGGATGTTAGCAGCTCCCAGCCGCTTGCTCCCAGGAGCCCAGCATCATTTTATGCAACCGCACAGGGTGGAGACCAACCTTCTCCCTGGAGAGGAAGTGGCTGCAGGAATACCAGATGTGGCATTCCCACAGCAGCTGGTGGAGGGGCCCCTGTCTCCCAGGGTGAGGAGCTCCACAGAGACCCAGCCCCGGAAGTTTGCAGAGTTTCCACAAGCAGGGAGAACCCAAGCTGCATGGGGCCAGAGGCAACAGGGGATGGTAAACAGAACACTATTTGGGACTGATTCTCCCACCCACTGCCTTTGTTTCTGTCCACCAGTGTTGGGAAACCTGTTTAAAGAGTTATTCCATGGGCTGGGGATGTGGCTCAAGCGGTAGCGCGCTCTCCTGGCATGCCTGCGGCCCGGGTTCGATCCTCAGCACCACATACCAACAAAGATGTTGTGTTCACCGAGAACTAAAAAATAAATATAGAAAAAAAAAACATTAAAAAAAAAAATTTAAAAAAAAAAAAAAAGAGTTATTCCAAGTATTTTTTCAAGCCTCTAATCTGTCTTCAAAAATATTCTGGAGGAGGAAGCAAAGATTGTTTGCTGCGGTAGATGAGGGTAGAAATGGCCAGGAAAAATCTCCCCAGAATACCTAAGTAAGAACCACGAGGGAGGGTCAGGGGAGCATGGACAGAAGCCAGCCGCGGCTACTGGAGTGCAGTTCTCAGCTTGTCATGCAGATTTTTAAATAGGGAGCAACTGAAGTCCATTGCTCTGTGTGAAAGCTGGAGGGTGGGGGTGAAGTGGAGGGAAAGGGGAGGTGGGGTTGCTATAGATGGTTGGAAAGGGTGAGAGGGCTGCAGGTGGGGGACCCAGGGAAATGGAGTGTGCGGTTCATCTTAAATCTTGTTTACTGTACGTATTCTTGGGTGGGGGGGGTGAGCTGGACCCCTTAGTCCCCACATCCAAAGTTGATTAAAACCCTGAAGTTTTCCATAATTGGACCTCATTAATAAATTCCTCAGGGTACCAGGAGGCTCTGAAGAGGTAAAATAAGGGTTTGGAGAGATGAGAGCAACAGGAGGTTGTAAGACCCCAGACTGTGGAGTTAATTCCACTTAATCAGCTTGGACAAACTCCATGTTCACAACAAGCCCCAGGAGTCCCTGAGCCTCCAGCCCCCGCCCTCTTCAGCAGGGCAAGATTTTCTGGCATTCACTTCTCCCTTACTTTTTAACCTGTTTCCAACGTGGTAACATACTGCCCCATGTTTTAAGAACATGGGGCTGCTCTTTCCTGAGGACTCTCAAGGTTCCTAAGCTAAATGTGATGGCAGCAGCTTGGAGAAGGACAGGCAGCACTTCGAGCCTCCTCTCTTCCCTTTACCATCCACCAGCACATACCACACCCCTGCCCCAAACTTCTCCCCTCTCACCTTCGAGAACATCTGTTCTCAGTTGTTAGTTGGACCCCAGACTCACACACAGTCCCTGTACAGGTTATTATTAATGTGCTAACTTGACTTGGCTAAGGGATGCCCAGAGAGTTGGCAAAGCCTTACTTCCGGCCGTGTCTGTGAGGGTGTGTGGAAGAGATTTGAATTGGTAGACATGGTAGAGAAGATCATTCTCACCAACATGGGCTGGCATCATCCAATCCCTTGAGGGTCAAAGAGAACAAAAAAGGAGAGAATTCACTCTCTCTGCTTGAGTGGAACATCTGTCCTCTCCTGCCTTCAGACATTGGCCTTCTGATGCTTAGGCCTTTGACTCAAACTGGGACTTACACAAATGCCCCCTCCCGTTTCTCAGGCCTCTGAATTTGAGGTGGAACTACCACACCGGCTTCACTGCTTCTGCAGTTTGCAATGGCAGCTCATGGAACTCTTTAGCCTTCCTAATTGTGGGAACCAGTTTGCATAATAAACCTCTTTCTATCGATCTTTATATTTGCCATCAGTTGTGTTTCTTTGGATATCCCTAATACAATCCCAAATCTTAAAGTAAGACATCAGCATTAACTTGTTATCATTTCAAGTCTTCATAAGTTAGCAAATAGAGGCAAGTTTTAGGGATTATTAGTTTTCATTTTTTTCTTTCTTTCTTTTTCTCCTTTTTTGTACTAGGGATTGAACACAGGGCCTTGCATCATGTTAAGCAAGTGCTCTACCACTGAGCTACTTCCCCAGCCTTTTATTTTATTTTGAGATAAGGTCTCACTAATTTGCCCAAGCTGGTCTTGAGCTTACCATCCTGCTGTCTCAGCCTCTTAAGTAGCTGGGATTAAAGGTGTGCACCACCATGCCCACCAGTGGTCATCTTTAGTGTGGAGCTTACTTGGTTAATATGGTTAGCACAGTACCCTATTGTTTTTCTCTAATAGAAGTGAAAATGAGCTGCAAAATATCCAAGGATCAGATACCTAGGAAAAACAAGAAGCAAAGGGCCTCAGGGATGTCCAAATTGGGAAGCCAATCTCTGAGTAAAAAAGATCAAGGGTCAAGTGGAGGATTTTTCCTGGACTCCAAGTGGCTTGTTCTCATAACATCTATCTATATCTTACAAATGTCTCCTTCCTTTTCTGGGAATTTCAGTGAGAAAGGTTATGTAGCAAGACTATCAGGCATAGAAACAGCCTCCAGTTCAACCTCCATCTCCAAGAATTATCAACCTTCATTTATATGGACTACAATGTCACTAGTTCTTGGTGTAGGACTCACTCCAGGTCAAGGATAGAACAAAATAGCAGATGACTGTGGTGGAGGAAAGCAGGTCAGGTAATGGCCATTAAGAAACAGAGAAAGAAAGAAAGAGAGAGAGCTCCACTTTCCAGGGACAACATTTGTATCCTAAAGGCACACCCCCAATGACCCACCTCCTCCAGCCACTGCTATCTGCCTACAGTTACCACCCAGTTAATCCCTGGGAAGGATTAATGCTGAGTGGGTTGAGGTTCTCATAACCCGATGATTTCACTCTGAACTTTCTTGAATTGTCTCAAACATGAGCTTTTGAGGGATGCCTCATATCTAAACCATAACAATAGGCTAACACATTGATGATTTTTAATTTGGGGGGGGAGGCGAAAGAAATTGATAAAGGTCTGATTGTAGGTGAGAAAAGAGAAAGGTTTTTTTTTTAATCTAAAATTAATTTTTCTGAAAACTGGGTCTGATTCATCCTATTTTTTTACCAGATCTATTTTTAGAAACATTTACTTTTAAACTAATAAATGAATTAAACTGTAGCCATAGCTGCTGTCTGATAACTCTTTCCTGGTGAAAGAACATAGTCTTTCCCCCAAACAAATACATCTTCACATAACCAGAACTGATAAACCAATCCTCAAATTGAGAGACACCTTCAATAAATGGAAAAGCTGTATATCAAAATAGTTGATAAAGGCAAATTTTTATCTGTAAAAGGCAACTTTTTCAGTAATGTATTTAAAGAGTTCAGAAGGGTTGGGCAATGAAGGGAGAATTTGAAGTAAGTAGCTGCTGCTTCATCCAGTTCTCCTGTGGGGTACTGGCCAGTGTGGGACCAGATGAATGGGCAAGGTGGGTGGACTTAGATGGCCCTTGCTGCTATGGCATAAACTGGCCCAGCTCAACTGCATGACATTCTGGAAAAGTTAAAACTCTGCAGACAATAAAACATTAATTGTTGCCAGTAGAAAGGGTGAGGGAGGAATTGAATAGGCAAAGGACCGGGGATTTTGACAGTACTGAAACTCCTCTGTATGATATTGTAATGTTGGACACATGTCATTAAACATTTGTTCAAACCCATAAAATAACACAACTCCAAGGGTGAACTGTGATGTGAACTGGGTGTTAATGAGCTATCCATGTAGAATCATCAATCATGACAAATGTACTACTCTGGAGAGAGATGTTGATGAGGAAAGCTGTGTGTGTGTGTGTGTGTGTGTGTGTGTGTGTGTGAACTCTCTGTGTTTTACCCTAAAAAAAAAAAAAAGTCCTGGCCCAGGCATTGATCTGGATTCCCAGGGGGGAAGGAAAGTGCCATCCTCTTATGTCTTACCTGCTGTCTACGGCAGAACACTTTTCACCCATAACTGGCCCCTTTAGGGCTTAGCCAGGTTCCTCGTAGAATCTGGGAGTTGAAGAGGAATTACTTTTCTATTCCATATATAAGTCGGAATTTTATAAGCATGTCTCCATACATTTCTTCTATAATAATAAAATAAAATAAAAAGAATGAACTTTGCAGTATTATTCAGGGGAGACTGATTTTTCAATTGATAGACCAGATGTGTGCTTGAAGTTTTCCAGTCTCTTGGATTGGCTGAACTTGCGCTGAACCACACTTCTGAAGCTTGAGGTAGGTCCATCTCCTCCCTGTGTTTTTTCTGGCCCTCATTCCTCATCTTCCTCTGCCTTCACCTTGCCACCTCCCCCCCCCCAACAATGTTTTAGAGAAACATGCCGGTATCAGACTCCATCTCCTTTTCTGTTTCTACAAGAAACTGAGGCCCACTCAGCATTTCATGAGGATGGTAACTCTGTGGGAAGTTACGATAGGGGGAGCAGGGTTCCACCTTCAACTCCTGCTCCCCACATTTTCAGCCTCTTGGGAAGTACATTCTTCCACTTCCTACCTTCCTTAGCCCCTTAGAAACTCTGGTGAATCCATTTCTTTCCATCTTCTTCCAAAATAACAGAAACTGTTATTTTTAATTTTTAAAGCTAATTTTTAAAAGAGCAGGGGAATAAGTTATAAGGATACAGGGGTCTCAGGAAATTCAGTTGTAACAGAAGAACTGGAAAGCCCTGCGCAGGATTCGGTGTCTCCCCTTTCTGGTATCCACCTGCTGGATTCTTCTCTCTGTGTGGTTGCTTTCTCTGTTCTCTATCCTCTGCTCTGAGCCCCCAAGTGTTCAGCTACATTGAAAGACAGACCACCTGGCTCAGAACCCCAATTCCAAATTCCTGGAAAAGAGAGCCAGGTTGTCCTGGTTGGATGACGTCAACCAGGAGGAAGTAGTCTTAGAGCAGCAGGTAACCTGAGGGGGAGCTCATGGCCAGCACCACACAGTGTGATCTGGAGAGTAGGTGATATTTATCCCTCTGAAGACCTGAGGTTTGGATATATTGTCGAAAAGGGTATTCATGGGCTGGGGTTGTGGCTCAGTGGTAGAGTGCTTGACTAGCATGTGTGAGCAGTGGATTCAATCCTCAATACCACATAAAAAAAATA